GTGTGATGCCATCATGTCAATATGGACCAAAATCTCTGAGGAATGCTTCCAGCACCTTGTTGAATCTATGCCACGAAGAATTGAGGCAGTTCTGAAGGTAAAAGGGGGTCCAACCCGTTACTGGCGTGGTGTACCTAATAAAGTGGCCGGTGAGTGTAGTTAATCATAAGATATGATTACTGGACAGTGTCAAGGTAGAACAGTGTCGTCATGTTGTCCCCCCACCGCACACACACTTTTAAAATGGTTCTGACACACATATTTATAAGGTAGTCACTGCCTGCTTAAGGAAATGACAAAAAACACAAAAATTTGCAGAAACTTTCAAATAAATAAGGATGTAATTTTCCTGGCCACCCCTGTGTGAGTAGTGGTCCCAGTCTGGKCACCCCTGTGTGAGTAGTGGTCCCAGTCTGGCCACCCCTGTGTGAGTAGTGGTCCCAGTCTGGTCACCCCTGAGAAAAATGTCTGGCTCCGCCACTGCTGATAAGCTGTAATCACAAAGCAGGCCTTGACATGGACTTCCTAAAACAGACCCACCCAGCTGACATTCTGACTGCTCTTGTTTGCTGAAGTGTGAATGTAAGAAAAACTGGAAAGACTGAAATAAACATTTTAATCCTGGAGACAGAGTGAGACTATTTACATTTAGAGCTGGTATTGTCACCAATTCTCTAATTTGATTCAATTTCGATTCATAAGGTTTTGAATCAATTAATCATGATTCGCTCCGATCCGATTCGGTTCGATTCATTCTGCTCCTAAATAATGAAAATGGTTCAACAGTGGTGCAAAATACAAATTTACTTTATCTTTTCTCTTCACCATAAACAACAGGTTTTAGGAGCAGACATGTAACTGCAAACAAAACTGTCTCAGGTTTCAAATGTTTTAAATTAAAAAAAGAATTGAGAGAGACAGTGTTGTTGGAGGCATTCATTTTTAAGAAATTAAGAATAATTGTTTTGGTAAATAAGAAGTGATGGGAATAAGGTTGCAGGAGAAGAGGAGGGCTAGTATAATTGCTTACTTCTGCCCACTTTTTTGAGCTTATGAATTTTGTATATTTGTAATGTTTCTGTTACTGTCTGTTGTTATGTTCGATAAAACAAATAAAAAAATGATAAAACTACAACACTTCATCACTGTAGATTTAATCAACATGTTTCTTAAAGTTTAAATATAATAATATTGGTAACAAAACTAAACAATAGTTTTCCGCTATTGCGTATGAGCACAAATCATGAGACATGCTCCAACCTGATCTTTTTTATTTTCTCCCTTTCTTCTCAGGTGGAGATTGTGACCCATACAGGCCCCCACCGACGCCTGTGGATGGGCCCGCAGTTTCAGTTTAAGACCATTCACCCATCAGGTCAGACCACAGTCATCTCCTCCTCATCCTCAGTGCTGCAGTCCCAGGGCCCCACTGACATCCAACAGCCCCTCTTGGACTTCGACACAGATGACCTGGACCTGCACAGCCTTCGGTACTAAACTGATCCACAACACACCCACAATCATCTACAAACACTTTTGTTTTGAGTTGTTGTATTTTACCAGCAGCAGTAAACTTCAAACATGATTCAAAACTTTATTTCAGGAGTTTGATTTTGTAAAACACAAACATCCTTTTACCTGAAAAAGCTCCTTAACAGTAAGAAGAAATACTGATCTGATACTTGGGTCGGATATTTTACACATTATTGTACAGATATAATCAGAATGATAAAATTCAACATGTCACTTTGTGTAATGTTTATTAAATGTGTGTCTTCAGAATCCAGCCAGTGCGTTCAGAACCTGTCAGCATGCCCGGCTCATCCCGGCTTCTGACGGACCGCCGAGGACAGTCCAACATCTTGGACGCCGGATCAGGTAGGAAACATCATGTTTAATCAGTGTGCATTGCCAATGCAATGCACACTATTGTGATTCGTTTCCCATCCAAGTCATCTCAACTTTGCCATGCATCTCCTCCTGCATACTTTGTCCTAGAGCTGCCATTGTAATTTATATCTGTAAAGCTCCTGTACCAAATGATGACTATGACTTTTGGTGCCTGTACAACTTATATTTTTGGAAATATTAATGTTTAATAATGTATAATGGGAGTCAATGGAGCCTTGTATTGGTCCAATACTGCCCCTGCTGTATCTTCTCAGTACTGCACCATAGTTTTATAATATGTATTTAATCTCAATGGTTCAGTGTTTACAATACTAACATGATTGTATTTTGATATTTTACTATAATATTGTCCTAATATTGCTTTATTGTTGTAATATTTTTCAATTTAGTGACAACCATTACATTGGCAATGTGGCCACTTTCTGCACAAATACAAACCAAACCCTGGCCTCATTCTCTACCACAGCTCTAATGGTCTCATGGTTAGTGCCATGGGCTTTCATGTYGGAGATCAGGYTTCYAAACCCAGCWYCAGRAACTTTAACAYAAAATCTCTACAAACTTCATWTTGTCACACAATTACCCTCATTACAAACACCTGCTGATTTGACAAGCACAAGTTGGTAGAAAACACATTTGAACTTGGTCACATTTCATTCTGCAAGTCCGCTGCTGCAGGCAAAGACATGCTACAAGGCAATGCACACTTGTTTTTACATCGTAAAAACCCATGTCTAGTTTATATTTATTTTTTCTTTGTTTTCTTATCCAAAGRTTGTTGTTGTTTTGTTTATTTCTGTTCTGTGGATCATATCAGTTGAATAGAGGATGTCGATAMCCTCTTTGCACTATAACTGAAGCGTTACACTATAGAATGCTGTGCTTGTTAAACCATTGCACATATCTGTAAAATYTATGTATTTATGCTACAGAACACATCACTCAAAAACTCCAGTCTGAATATTTCTGAATGAACCTGTAAGCACCCCAAAGGCAGCTGTGTGTTTAGCTTACATGGGTGGAATTGTAATTTTTTTTCCTGTGGTTAAAAAAAGGAAAGAAATTTAAAGTAATTGTATGCAAAATGGACTTTTTAAAGTTTTATATGATGTTATAACATCATCAAAAACATACCCGGAGTGTTGCTTTGATTCAGTCATGCATGTTTGAGAAATCCTTGAATCACCTGTGGCAGCTACTGTATGTGCTGCTGCCTAAATTCTTGCTACAAAGCTCCTCCTATTTACACAAAGCTCCTCCCTGGAGCTATGTCTTTAACCAGGCTCCCGCCCCCAGAGTATCCCTCCCTGGAAACACTGTTTGAAAAAATACTAAAGGGGATATTTCAGATTTATTTGTATTGTGTTTTTATGAGCTTGTTTGTTTTTGGTGTTGTGCTCGATATAATAGTAATAATAAAAATAATGCATTTTATTTATAAAGCTCCTTTCAGGACACCCAAGAACGCTGTACAATAGAAAAAATAAAATAAAATGAAGGAAAAAAAAAATAAAATAAAGATACATATAATGATAAGGGTAGTGTGGGAGAAACAGAAATGTGGAGTACAGATCAGTTATATAATAAAATACAATAATGCAGACAAATTGAACAATAAGGTTGTGGAGGGAGAAACATTGAAGTGAGGACAACAAAAACAGACATATATTGAAAATCGGAGTTAACAGTGGTAGGCTAATTTGAAAAATGTGTCTACAGGCCAGTCTTAAACAGGGAGAGAGAGGTGGTATTGCGTAATCCATGGGGTAGTGAGTTCCAGAGCTGCGGAGCAGAGCGGCTGAAAGCTCTTCTCCCCATGGTGCTGAGGTGGCAGGGMGTACTGAGAGTTGGAGGGAGGAGACAGATCTTAGAGAGCAGGYYGGTGTGGAGATGTTCAGGAGGTCAGACAGGTAAGGAGGGGAAAGAGTGTGGAGAGCTTTGAAGGTGTGTAGGAGAATTTTAAAGACGATGCGGATATGTTGTTCTGTATATTGTCTGATGAGCCAGAAAATATTCTATTCTATTCTATTCTATTCTATTCTATTCTATTCTATTCTATTCTATTCTATTCTATTCTATTCT